TTCAGGCGTCACAATCTCAAGGTGGAATCTCAGAGATCTTCGAATCGGCAGGCATTTTTTCGGCCACTTCAAACCGCTTCAAAGGCCTCAAGGGCGTGGAAAACGTTTACACACAGCACAGTCCTCTTCTTGAAACTACTTTGCAGAACTTGATCAAGGGTCGACTCCGGGATCAACAATATCCCTTCGTTGAGGGTGGTGGCGCTACCAAGGACAAGCCGCAGGACATCATCGTATTCATCGCTGGCGGTGCAACTTATGAGGAGGCCAAGATGATTGCAGAACTAAATGCATCGAGCCCAGGCGTACGGGTTGTTCTAGGTGGCACCACGATTCACAACTCGGCGACGTTCTTAGAAGAGGTGAATGATGCTGTCAGTTCATGGCCTGAGAGCCGTGGTAGGAGGTAAAGGGTTCATCTGGATAAGAAACGTATTTTATTGTAGCGTGTATCTTTTAAGCCATCTTAGATCAAATGACACCAGATCTTAATCGCCATTTGTTTAGTGACTCTGAACAGTAGTTTACCAAGTGCCCTCCGTATCTGGATTTGCAATACTTTGAAAGTGTACAAATTAAAGTCAGCTCACATCCTTTTTATTTTAAGTAATCTGTTCTTTGTAAGGGACAAACTATTTCACAGAGTCATGATCTCATCTGACTATAAATCCATGATGGGATCGGATCGGGATATAAGTGTGTGAATCTTAACTTCTGATTGGACAGGCATGGCCCATCAATTTAGCGCAACTATTGTTCTTTCTGGGGTTCAGTACCTTGAAATTCAAACATTGGTCATCATAAAAGGCAAATTTTAACAACTTCAACAACATGAGATGCGCGCATTACTGAGACCCAGGACAGCCGTCTTACGGCATCAATGGTCAATCCCAAGGCGAAGATGTCTTGCGACTGTCTCCAGTGACACAAAGTAAGCCAAGCCGACTCCACGGATTTTATTTTGATATGGCTGCCCGTAGCTAACACCCCCACCACAGGCCTTATGATGTCGTGGTGATCGGAGGCGGTCATGCTGGCGCCGAGGCATGTGCTGCTGCGGCGAGAGCTGGAGCACGAACGGCTCTGATTACTCCAAAGATGGACAACCTCGGAACATGTTCCTGTAATCCGAGCTTCGGTGGTATTGGCAAAGGCACAATTATTCGAGAAATCGATGCGCTTGATGGGTTGGCCGGCCGGATCATCGACAAGTCTGGTGTACAGTTTCATGTTTTAAATCGACGAAAGGGCGCAGCTGTTTGGGTATGTCATCTCAACTCGAGGGTTGGTAGATGTTGATGGCTGACAGGTACACGACAGGGTCCAAGGGCGCAAATCGATCGCGATCTCTACAAGAAGCATATGAGGGCCGAGCTCACTTCGTATCCGAACCTATCAATTGTACTCGACAGCGTATCCGACATCGTTCTCACACCTCAGGATCTGACGGACGGCGCTTCGAGTCGCATTTCTGGAGTACGTCTCGAGTCGGGCCAGATCCTCCCAACAAGCAAAGTCATTATAACAACTGGAACATTCCTCGGTGGTGAAATTCACATTGGTCTTAATGCGTATCCTGCCGGTCGACTTGGTGAGGCAGCGACCTTTGGGTTGAGCAAATCACTGCGCGATGCGGGCTTTCAACTGGGCCGACTCAAGACAGGCACACCCCCTCGAATCGACCGAGCGAGCATAAACTACGACATTCTGGAAAGACAATACGGCGATGACCCACCGTCACCATTCAGTTACCTCAACGACACAGTGGCAGTGCAAGAACAGCTCACTTGCAGTGTGACGTATACAAACGAGAAGACTCACGATATTGTGCGTGATAACCTTGACAAGACGATCCACATCCGGGAGACAGTCAGAGGCCCGCGCTACTGCCCCTCGTTGGAATCCAAGATCATTCGGTTTGCCGACAAGACTCGACACATCGTGTGGCTTGAGCCGGAGGGTTTTGACAGCCAAGTCATCTACCCAAACGGCCTGTCTATGACCATTCCTGCTGAAGCGCAGGAGGAGGTCTTGCGCTCAATCCCAGGCCTTGAAAACTCGAAAATGCTTCAGCCCGGATACGGTGTCGAATATGACTACATTGACCCACGAGGCCTGAAATCAACATTGGAGACAAAGGCCATTAGCGGTTTATACCTGGCAGGCCAAATCAATGGCACAACAGGATATGAGGAGGCAGCCGGCCAAGGTGTTCTCGCAGGAATTAACGCAGGTCGCTCAGCTCGAGGTCTGTCAGGGGTTTCTCTTACACGGGGTGATGGATATATCGGTATCATGGTGGATGACCTTATCACCAAAGGCGTCACAGAGCCTTACCGAATGTTTACGTCTCGTAGTGAATTCCGTATGGCTGCACGTGCTGACAATGCTGATTTCCGACTAACGTCCAAGGGCCACGAATGGGGAGTTATATCCGACAAGCGCTGGAACAGTTATCGCGATGAGCGACAGCAGATAGACGACCTTACAAAGGCCTTGCAGTCGGTGTCTTTGAGTCCAAACCAATGGATTGAGAAGGGATTCCATTTAAAGCGTAACTCAACTCGTCGGGATGGCATCGATATGCTCCGGCTCTCAAGCACAACCACACGTATCGAGCTCGAGCAGCTTGCATCAGTCGTGCCGAGCATTATGGACTTTTCGCTAAAGATACGAAACCGTGTCGCCATCGAGGCCTTTTACGCTCCGTATGTCAAGATCGCTGAGGCGGAACGAAAACGGTTCACCAACGATGAGCGCGTACGCATCCCTATTGACCTCGATTATGATGAAATTCCTGGTCTTGCCTTGTCGGAGAAGGAAGCCCTCAGGGCAGCCAAGCCGGAGAACCTTGCACAGGCAAGGCGTGTCGAAGGTGTCACTCCATCAGGTAGCTTGCGTCTACTTGCATACGTCCGACGCAAGCCTATGCGTGAGGTATTGGGGGAGACAACAGAGGTTCCATAGAGCCAAGGGGTGGTGCATATATGCAGAAGATGCTAATTAAGCCGCACATAACGAGATTCAATGTACGATAATCAGGAACGATGCATAGATTTGGCGTTTTCATATGGGACAATGGGGGATTATAAATAGGGCCTTGAAAAGTATATAGCATATGTAAGTGTCATAATCACGCTTCTCCAAAAAAGTTCCAGGCGGAGATTCCGGACACATGCGATTTAGAATTTGTCTTGGGCTCGTTTTGAACAAAGGGGTATACATAACATATCAAGCTCAAGGTTGCGGGCCGTCACTAGTGACCTTTTGACTTCTTTGTTTCTCTTTTCTTGGTGTTTCATTTGACCTCACTAGCTCCGCGTTTGAATCTGAGTCAAACTTGGCTAACAAAGGTACCCGTTGCACTCGTGCCTTCTCATCGTCTGCCACTTTACTAAACTGTACAGAAACCATAATTCTATGGCTTTTTTGGCGTCTGCTTATTGAGAATTTTAACGGCGTCCTTTGTGTAGATGTAGCTTGCTCCGCTCCAGATGGTGGTGGCAGAGACAACATATCTGGACAACCATGTTAGTAGTGATACCCAAAGGATTTTGAAGGAATTGAACTTACTGCATGATTGTTAAAGTAGTGGTCAAGTCTGCGGTCACAATAGGTGCAGCTGTGGTGACCCCAACAAGAGCAAGCTGCAGGAAAGTGTTGTACTTGCTAATAGTAGTGGGACGTACTTCAGCTGAAGGGAGTGAAAAGTCCCAGTATCGAGCAAATGTCTTTGGTGGTGGTAGGGAGATCCAGCGGTAGTAGATTGCAGAGATGGCAAGACCAACATCACGACCGAGGATAATGGTAGCGCACCAGACTTTTTGAACATGTTAGCTGCGCTGTTCACGATGGGCTAGAATGGGGGAGGCAAAACGCACGAGGCAAAGCACCCTTGGCAGCAAGACAGATGGTCAAGATGGTCATGAGCATCTTGTCAGCCATGGGGTCAATTACTGTGCCCACGACAGTCTTGCTGTCCCAGCGTCGCGCGATCCATCCATCGAGTAAGTCGGTGATGCCTGCGTATGCAAAGAGGCCAACCGCCCACGCATGCTGGTCGTGTAGAACAAGATATCCAATGACAGGGGCTGCAGCGAGACGCGTAAAGGTCAGGATATTTGGTACCGTGTATATATCTTCGTGCAACACTTCGGCGGGTCGTGAGGGCGTAACACCTTGTGTTGTCGGGGGATGCGTTCTGGACAAGGCCACGTCAGTCAATCGCAGTAAATTGAAGTTCTCGGTCGCGTACTCACCCAACACCTTTCTCATCCTGCTGCTTTTGATTGCTTTTATTATCTTGCCATGAATGCGATTTTGTGAAGAAGAGGCTTTGTAATTTTGCTGGTGCCGTGTGCCTCGGCGCAAACCTCACAGCAGCACACCTTGTCGCTGCCCGGCAAGCCAACCTCGCGGATATACTCATATCTTCGCTTAGCTTGACTTGGATGTTTTTGTTTTCAAAAATTGGGCGCTGCCCAGACGCTCAATCGGTCGAATTCGCCCACAATGATATCTTGTTGGCCCAGGTATCCGATGATGGAGTCGTGCTAAGGTTTGTCGAAAGCGATAAGACCTGATAAAGATGCCAGCCCCGCCTGGTTGAATATGGATATCACACCCCACACTATGGTGATGACTGAATATACTACAATACTTGGCACCTGCGGATCATGCATGATCTGTTTCTCGTTTGGCGTGTTGATCTCATCTTATTTTCGTTTTTGGCATTGATCTTCTACGAAACGAACTGTTTGATTTGCCCGGTCAGAATCAACGACACGGTGCTTTACCCATTTTGGTTCGAGATAGAAACGGTACAGGCGAGTGGTCGGCCAGTCACAGTAAATAAATATAATTCTAAAGAATTTGACATTTCATTGTATTAAACTAGCAATAAAACTCCTATAATGAGTAAAGCAGCTACTGCCGGTATTTCCAGACAGTAAACAGTCTTTTTCAAAACTCAGGATTGTTAACTTGGGGGGGGGAAACATTCAGTAACCGCCAGGATGGTGATGGTGATAATTGTTGTTGTGGGGGGGTGGCGGGGCGTAGACATTTTGGTGCTCAACACCAAAACCTTGAGGTTGGTGGGCATTAGGGAGTGCGGGGGCATTAGGGATTGCGGGGTCATAATGTGCCTGGATGTACTGGGGGTAGACGGAGTAGGGATAGGCGGCATATGTGAACTGATCACGTGGCGGCATTATGGCCTGCCGTGAGTGCCAGAGTTGTCTCTCCTCGTCTGAAGTCAGCTCTTCATGTACCGGTGTACGGAAACTCTGTGAATTGATGAGTTCCTCTCGAATACAGTGTTTCCGAAGTATGGGGTGCTGGGAAGGTCTCAGAAGACGTCCTGATCTGACATCTTCAACAGTATAGTAGCTAACGAGGTGGTGGAGGATGCCGTTGTACGTGATGGTAATAGTCTTCTTGAGAAGACTATTGGGCTTGAAATCGTAGGAGTCAATGAGTGACCCTACCAGATCCCGGTCGTCGTCCCCAAGCTCACCAGCACCAAAACCAGCAACGGTACTAGCACCGCCACCAAATCCAGGGCCAGCATCAAATCCAGGGTCGGCAACAAATCCAGGGCCAGCACCGAATCCAGGGCCAGGGCCAGCAGAGCCATTCGGCATGTTGGAGAAACTTGTGGCCCGTGATCGTTGATTGTAAGCCTTGGTAACCCCAGTCTGCGGCTTCTTGTCCCTCTTCATAGCCTGCTTCTTCTTTCCTGGTGGAAAGGGTTGGTTCATTTCCCGGTACACCAGGAAATTTTGCAAGATTCGGCTTGGGCTCCAATTGACACCGTCAGTCCAGCGCTTGATCCCGGAGGCGTGTTCTTCGTAGACGAATACTGATCCGCTTGTGATCAGTTGCTGGCGTTCCCGGTCGTGTGGTCGTCGAGCCACATGCTGAAGGTTACCAGACAAGCAGGCTTCGAAGACCAGGAGAGCATCGACGGTGTTTTTGATGAAACCTGTATAGGTTGCATCGAGTGGCGCGTTTGACATTGTTGATCGCGTATGAGTTTGGAGTTGATGGTTGGTGGTTGGTGGTTGGTGGTTGATGATGTTTTTTGAGTTGAAGTTCAGAGTTGAAGTTCAGAGTTGAAGTTCAGAGTGTTTGAGTTGATGATCAAGATATCTTTCTGTGTGAGTTTGATCGAACCCAGTTTCGGGGGCCAAGCTTCTTTTATATAATAATTTCTTGTTCCTGGTGTTATAGTTGCGATGCCGCCGAAGTTTTTCTCCGCATCGGCCTTGGCTATCTGGTGGTTGCCTCCTGATAATTGCGTTGCTGTGCCAGAGAATGGTTAAACTTGCGCAATATTCGTGGTTATGACTGGTTTGTCACGCGGGCTTTGCAATTTTCGTATAGTTATGACGACCGTACGGGCCGAGCAATAAGCACAATGTGACGAGGCGTAGCCCCTACCTGCTTGTTGAGCAAGATTATTTACCAGCTGGTCAATTATCTTGCTTTATAGTTATGGCCGAATTGCTGCGTTGGTATTCGATTGATACCAGAAGGTTCAAGAAGCAGAGTTTGATAAGGCGTAGTCAGGCACCAGGTGGGTTGACCGTTGAACACTTATGACTGTGCTGTCACCCCAACACGTCAGAACTGAGGTGATATTCTTTCTGGTCCGCCAGGGAGTGTAAGTTTAAGTTTGACCGCAAAAGGCGTTGAGTGTGTTGATTGATACAAGTTGATTAGCTTGTACTGAAGTTGATTGACCAATATATTGACAAAGATAGCTTGTTGTTGAAGTTTAGTTGGAATGGTGGAATGAAGAAACAACAATATAGCAGAACAACAACAACAAGAAGAAGAAGAAGAAGAAGGAGCAAGTTATGGTACAATGAATTAGATGGAGATGTGATGAACAAGCAAGTGTAAGTGGATGTGGATGGCCTGGATATAATGTACTTGCCCAAAGCGAATCGAACTTTGGTGGACTAAACAGGATTGGCCAGACTAAGCTACATAAATTTGGAGACAGTACCTGGTTGCTGAAGGCCCCTAGGTCAAGCTGAGAAAAGCCAGATCGGATACGTACACTGCCAATGCATACCTAGGTACCTAGACGCAGACGGGAACCAGCAAAAGCCTGACCCTGGGATACACACGCACGGTAGGGGTGGGGTGGTGTAGGGGGTGAAAAGAGGGAGAGAAATCTTTGGCCCATGGAGTTTAGTGTTCGTGAAGAATAATAAACCATGTATCCGTGACGGTCCATGTTGGATTTGGACTGGGATTGAGACTACATGCAACCTTGCCTTACCTTGCCCTGCCCTACCTTGCCTTGCCTTACGCTTCGCTTCGCCTACAATACCTGACCTTGCCTAGTCTAGCACTATGTAGACGACTGTATTATACCTACGTATGTACTGTTTCGGTAAGTGTCTCTCAAATTTCCCAACTCCACACACCTCCTCTCCTCTCTCCAGTCTGGAGATGGAAAAGAAGGGGATGGGGAAGCACGTCCCATAAGATGACGGCGGTGGCAGTGGCTGAATTGGATGGGTCTTTACGGCCGAGAGGAGAAGCGACAGAAGAGGAGAAGAGGGGGGAAGACACGAAAAGAAGAAAAGGGCCTACTTGTCAAAGATCAAATACAAAAAAGTTTGATAGATTGTATCAAACGATATCGTTCGTCCACAGGTACCAGAGATTCGGTTCACTCTAGAAGAATTCAATCTCCCTTGATAAAAGGTTTGGGCGAATCATTGTATTGATTTTCCTCCTTCAATTAAAAGAAGCTCTTTACCGTCTGAATTTTAAAAACTGAACCCTGTCTGTCCCTTAACTAGATCTGCCCAGTCTCCAAACTGTCGGGAGCTGGCGAAAACTTACAACCCACCTCGTTTTGTTGCAGTAAGTAGTGTGTAGCAGGTAGTACTGCAATTCCTCTATTAATTAAAGATTACAAAACAAATCCATCACATCCACAATACCACCAGTTGAATACGGATGGGATAGAACAGATCGTGCCGCGCCCCTCTCTCTCTCTCTCTCTCTCTCTCTCTCTCTCTTTCTTTCTCTCTCGCACGTTCCTCACTCTGCCGAGGAGATTGACCTTCTTTTATTATAAACACGCCTAGGGAGGACTGTAGACACACCCTCCCATCCCAAATACAATTCTCATGCATGAGTGACGCACTACCTATGCTCTTTTTCTTTCTCAAAAATATGCCATGACAGTTATGATTGTCGTCTATCTCGATAAGGGGGCATGTACGTATGTGATGTGTCTGATTTCCGTACGAATTATTCGGAACAATGCCTTTCTTCGGAACTATCTAACAACTGCCGAAAGTTGAGCTGATACAATGCCTCAGATTGGATGCCTCTTTTCATCTCTTTTGTTTCTGACAGGTAGGAGATATCTATTCAGTAGCCCCTCCTTTTCTTAATGTGATGATATTGGATGCTCTGGCTATTCACCAGACGGAGAAAAGGCAAAAGCACCGCAGCCACCTTCATTGGCATTTTCAACAATCACAGGTCGCATTCAATGGGCTTCCTTCTGCAACTTGGCCGGCTCTTCTTTTTTTGTTTTGGGCCGGGGGTCCTGAACGCCACGAACCCACCTACATTCCTAACAGGGTACGCCTGTGGTAATGCCGCCCCTCGCCGTGGGTTATGGGCGCATCTTGATGGATTCAAAGAACAGAAATTCAGTAGCATGGGCAATGTACATACTCAACGATGATGATGGTGATAATAATAATAACTATGCGTTGCGTTGCGTTGCGTTGCGCTGCGCAGCGCTGCGTCGCAAGCCTGTCCACCATGAGAGGAGCGTCGTAAAAACCTGTCACGGCTCTCCCATCCCGACTGCATGTCCTCTTAACCATCTTGGGTATGGCGCGGGACCTTCTGGGTATGGCCATGGCTTCTTTCGAGTCCCAGAGTCCCCAGGGCAAGTGCGGGCAAAGTGGTCAGCTAGGTAGTGAACTAACAGACACCCATGATCCATCCATTAACAAAGGAGAAACCCTTCCCCCGTCCGGAACCCCGGAGACGGCCGAGACTTCCGACGCCGGCCCCCCAAGCGCCCGACGGCATCACTTTCTCGGGTTAGTATCCAACTACCACCTCACTAAAGATAATACCTACACATGTCCATACTGTCCCAGCACTACAGCTTTACATCCCTGAGGTTGATGCAACAAGTACCTTTGCTTAGTACCCAAGGCAGGCCGCGGGCACCGTATTGCTATCATGACCTGTTTAGGACATTCGTAAAGCACGTATCTAGAGAAGACGAAATGGAGAGAAACGAGGGAGAAGAGAGCACGATCCATACAATCCGTATACTGATGTTTGTATGTCAGATCCAAAAAAGACAAAAGGGAACTCCGGTGCGGGGAATCGAACCCCGCTCGCCGCGGACTTTACTAAGTGAAAACGCGGTATGCTAACCGATACACCACACCGGATTGCGATTTGATGAAAGACGGTAAACATAGTCATGCTGATGAGTGATTGTAGTCATTTTTGCTAGCGTTAGATCTGAAGTGGACCTGGTCTACATCAAGTTCCTCTATAAGCTCTACTTCTTGCTGGCCTTCTATAGACTTGATAGAATACTCGCTATTCTCTTCCTTATACCGTGGTGCTAGCAGTATAACCGCCTTCCCATATTCCCTAAATAGGCTTATCTGTTTATCTAATAGTCACGTCGAGTGCAAGCACGCACTATAGGCATGATATAAATGATCAACCTAAGGGGTAACGGGAAATAATCCCAGCTTTGTGAAACAAAACAAATGAATTAAATGTACGGCCTAAAGAGTATAAACTGACTGTCCGATTTTATCTCTTGTACCTTGAGCAGCTTACCTTTCATGCCTACCCTGAGTGACTTACATGCATGGGTCGTCGTCTATGTGGCTAGGTTAGTAGGTTGGTTGTGTCTGATAGGAAAGGTTACGTCGAAACTACAGGGTATGGAAGTAATGATGTGGAAAATATATTAAATTTGTCACAGAGGACTGTAATTTCATGCCTGGGTTAGGCATAAGACGTGTAGTCTTAATTTAAAGGAAAAAATAAAATGAAAATCAGTTATTAGTTGTTACGGCATTAAATCCGACTGCCCATCGTGTCAGTTTCCAATCGTGTGTCTGACAAACAAGCAAACACCCCTTCAAATATGTCCAAACCTTAGTGAAGATCATTTAAGGGTCTCCCGTCTTACACGACTTCCGGGGTGCTTACTGTAAATGCATCAAAGATACTGTATGTATCTATCTACGCTCTATCTCGACCCTTTTGTACAAATGATACCAAACGCAATTACGGCACAAAGTACACGTTCCCATCGCTTGCTATTCCATGTTTTACTATGCCCATGCAGTGCAGTAAATTATCTAGTCTAGTGACCTGCAGAATTGATCTAAAATAAAAAAGCCAAGATCAACAAGCAAATGTCAGTGCCAACTAAATAAAGGAAGGGGTGTTGAGCAAAAGGTCCCCCCCCCCCTCCTCTTTCGATTTCTCCATTATTACAAGCTTGGACTTGAAGCCCAAGCCCACCCCAGTCTTGCATCTAAAAACGGCCATACGATGTAATTACCTATTGCAGGACCAGGAGCTTTGTTGGAACATGCCGTCCGTCGTCGTAGCGCAGTCAGTGTACAGTAGTTCATCACTGGCAGCAGCCCCCGGTGGTGTAATTAGTTTAGTCGCATCCATCCAGGTCTTAGTCCCGCCCGTTATTCTCCTCGATCTTGTCACTTGTCTACTAGTAGTTACTCTCCAAGTGAAGTTGGTGGTACGCTCCGTTCGTTGATCCTTGCCTTTAGGTCCTGTTCTTGTCTTGATGGGCTCGTCTCATGTCGCCTCGCCTCGCCCTTAGCTCCAACTTGCGGTACCTCATCCTGCCGCGCGTCAATTGAGTTCAGCGGTACTGTACGGACGTATCCTTGTCTCGGATTGACGGCTACGGATATCATGGCATGTCACATACCCTTAGGGTTAGAAATGGCACGGTACAGAGTATTGTGCGCTCGATGCTGCTGACTTGGGTTCAGTATATGCGCCCAGGATAATTGATGAATTTGACTTCACAAACAGTATCGTAATGAATATGGAGTGTGGTTGTGATATTATCTCCCCGGACCGACAGCCCAGCTCAGCCCAGTTTATTAAGGCACTTGTTGATCAGGTCCCTGGCTACCATAGCTAGGTGGGTAGGGATGTAACTATGCCATGGATGCCCTGCCCTGCCTTTCCCTGCATTTCGGGCAGAGCCTTACTGTGCTGTGTAATGTACCCTGCGAGAAACCGCAACCGTTGATAAAACAAGTCGACATGGTACCCGTACCACCTATTGGAATACCTAGTGTGGTATGGATATCATATCAAAAGGGAAAGAAAGGGACGGGAAAAAAATTAATGATGATGAAAACGAACATGGTCAAGGTCAAGGTCCAGGTCATGGATATGGATATAGCACTCAGCGCGACCTCCGGCATTGGCTTTCGTGCCTGTCTTTCGTGGGGCTTGATGCTGTTAGCCCCCTCCACCCGTTCCTTCTTCTAGGTACCTTTTTCAGCATGATGATTCGATGATGCACTTGCCGTTCTGCAGGCCATCTCTTGCCTTGTCCCGTAATTGGACAGATGTTCCTTCTCTCTGGGATGCCACACTCCATCCCTGTTCACGTCGCTTCGCTTCCATCCTTCCCTTCCCTTCCTATTCTCATTCCCTTGTCCGTGTCGTCTTGTTTGAGACAACTGAAGCGTGCAAAAAAGTGGGAGAGCCGAACAAGGCGTCACTTCAGCTTCCCATTGGGTGGGATTCTCCAATTGGCTTTTGTAATCGTGTGTCATAGCCAACACAGTCAGCCCGTCAAGTACCGAGCTACAGCGTATTTGCATTGCAAACAGAACCCCAAACCCCCAAACCACCCCCCCTGTTCACGTCCGGCTTTTGAAGGCCCTGAAAATGGATATCAATTTACCGTCTTTCTTCTATGGATACCTGACCTGACTGACCTGACCCGACCCGACCTGGTCATTGTCACTGTCACTGCCACTGCCACTGTCACTCACTATAACGTAGTTCAACTCAAACCTGGTATTGAACTGCATCCATGCATCGCATCCCATCTTTATCCCATCAACACCGATGCCACTATCTTCAGATTACGTATCTTTCGATCTTCTGCAATACCACTTGCATGGTATCCGCAGCCATGACTGTATCATCATCGCTTATGAACCATTCACGTTTTCCCAAATCATTCCGAAACTTGGATCGCTGCCATGAGATGCAGATGTACAGAGGCTAGTCGGCAACAATCACACACATAATAGCAATAACGCATCAAGCCAGCATCATGATTCCATACACAAAGACAGGGCTATCGCCAACAACTGCCGTTCTCAGCATTGTCGTCTTCTTTCTCATTTCGACCCTCTTCTAACCCCCAGAAATGCCTGCACGTGCGCGCAATGTAACAACGCGCCCTCCGCCGTTACTTACTCCTGCATACTGTAAAACCATGGCTCTTCGCCCTCGCGGTAGCGTCGTCCTGGTTGTTGCATTGGAATTGGGACTGTGCCCTCCAACACCATCTCCATGTCTACGTCCGTGTTCTCAAGATGATCTTTGTGCTGTTGCTGCTGCTGCTCCTTCTGTTCCGGTTGCTTCTGTTTCTGGACGTCAACTTGTTGACTCGTATCGCGTCCCTTGCCCGGCTGCCTCGATGTCTTCCCCGCCTGCACTGATGACCGTGCCTGTGCCTGTGACTCTGTTTCTGTCTCTGTCTCTGTTTCTGCTGCCGCCTTGACCTTGGTACTGGCGCTAGTACACTCATTCAAGTCGGTGGAGACAGTGCTACTGTTTTTACGATTGCCAACTCGCACTACAACACCGCTCTCCCAATTCCGACAGCTCATCTTGGGCTGTCCTGTCGCTCGGTCCTTGACAATGCGGCCCCTGTTTAGTACGCAAACGTCAGCATTATACTCATATGATCGTCGCCGTTTTGTGCCAGTGCTTTCTTAAAACATCCTCAACAGGCAGCTAATTGCGCACTACAGGTGAGCAACCGCACCATCGCAGCGACCGTTGATGCTCGCTTCTTGCCTTGTTGTCTCAAGTCTCCCCATGTCTTACAGAAAAGAGGGGGCACGACAGGGGTAGTTCCCAGACAGTGGTAGGATTTGGGGTCTTACTCACCATGCGCTCTCTGACAGATTTGCACTGCCGACGTAGACCCAGCCCAGAGACATATTTGCCGCTTTCGGGTTCCCTTGGGTACTAGCCGACCCCTGGTCGCGTCCCCACGGCTCCGATCGCGTTTGCGGACGCGTTTGCAATTGACTTTGGTTTTGACTTCCCGCTTCCGTCTGTGATACCAAGATCATCTTGCTGTGCATCAGAAGCCCATGCCTGGTGTTAACACAGTCCCGCACGAGCTCAGTGGGGAAGGTTGGTGCGCGCCACCATTTGGACTGGACACAGATGGTGCCCGCAGCCTGCATCAGCGCCCTCAGAGGTTAGCGTTGACTAAGTCATTTCGTTTGGTCTGGGTTTTTCTTCTTTTTTTTCACATGTGAGGATTCCCCAGTTATTCGAGATCTGCAATGACGGACACTCCAACCTGGCACACTTACATTACGACCACCTCGACTCCTGGTTACTGTCTCGTTCGTCGGAAAATATATTCGGAAACGGTCCTTTAGCTTGTCGTGCCATGGGTTCGACGCCTTGTTTTTTCCTGCTGCGCCCGCTCGGCCTATTCTCGACTTGTATTCGGCCAGGCCATCGTCTCCTGCGAATCGTCACTCATCAGACCACATTATCGCAATTTAGGGCAATGTATGGGGTAGAACTGCCATAGGGGTTGGGGTGCACAGTATCTGTATCGTCTTACCTCGACATGCATTGTAGATTGCGCCTACTAGGTCGTAGTTGAGAGATCCAAGAGAGGCACACTGGAGTAACGGTTCACATATGGTTAGATTCAATGTTCTCTGGACTAGCCTGCGGCTTTGATGGCACCCACAACAAAATCGACCTCGATTGGGTCGTCAGTGGCTAGTCCAAGGGAAGCCACGCTGGTGCCCAGCCCACTGTATCCTAAACGACGTGAGCCATGGTTGCATGAAAATCATCGAATATGCACGTTCACTAACCTATTCGCTTCAGTTCGTCTCCTTGGTGTCCGCCTGGGCTAGAATTCGGTATCAGCACATTGATTCGCACATGCGGGGTCCGAACATGATCATCATCAGGTCATGATCCAATGTTCCAAGTCCTGGTGGGCTTACATGGTGTACACGAAGCCAAGGTGCTTCGTTTGCGAGAAGTCGTAGTTTGTTAGACTGCTCACCATGGACTCGCCAACGCCAGTTGCCGACAAGAATCGGCCGAGCTCGGTGCTGAATGAGGTTGGCCGATGAGTTGCGGACCCCTCTAGTCGAGGGAGATCAATCAGAAAGACCATCTATGCAATTCATTAGCGATTCCTCGTCTCCAACGCCATCCAAAGCGCCTCGATTTCGACAACCAACGTTCTCCATGACGCCAGTCTCCCCCCAATCATAGGGGACCAGATTGGCTGTCGGGACCACAACTCGAAGATAGTCGGGGTACTTTAGCAGCTGGAGCTTGGAATGCATCGCCCCAGGCCCATTCATTGCCGGAAAGACGAACTTGATGCCTGGTGGCGCATTGGATCGCATTTCTGATTTCTGTGGCAGGCTTCGTCAGCCTACGGGGTTTGCCCAATTCGAGGGGTTTAGTGAGGGGATAGCCCGAACGAGTCGGGTTCGATGATTGACACACACCTGGGCCTCGCTGTCGGCAAACGCCAGAAGGAGCAGCTTGGTCTTTCTCAAATTCAACTTGGATATGAGCCATTCATCGTCCCATTGATACGAACTTAGGAGAGCAAGCTCCAGTTTGTCCTTCTGAAAGACCTCCTCGATCTTGATGTCTTCTGACGTTCGAGGGTACCCATACGCCCATGTCCGTTTGATGGCGCCCTTGGGGTAAGGCAACAAGCTCGCCGGCAAAGAAGCAGCTACGGTCCGGGGGGGTTCGACACTTGGCGTCATTCTCTTTGGCGGCGGGACTTCTGCAACATCTCCATCTGTAGGTGAGCGACGCCGCTTGGCTAACCTCTGCAGCCTGTCCTCTTCCATCTTCTTGCGATCGAGCGAAAGCAAACCGAGGCCAGCCCCGCTCGAACCATCCCCATTCCGGCAGGATGTCGAGGTCGAGGCGCACGGGATCTGCGAACTTTGCTCGTCTTGGAGCTCTTGTTCCTGAAGTGAAAGGGCAATGGCATAACGCAACGCCTCGTCTTCGTCCATATCACTCCCCACTTCGAAGGGATCTTGGCGAGACCCAGCCATTTTTTGTGTTTTTGGCCGCAGCGGTTTTCAGGGCAAGATTCCGGCAAGATCGACTGAGTTTCGGGCGGGCGACGGTTATGAAAGTGATGCTTTTTCTAATCTGAAAGGTTCACGATTTAGCAAGCACCTTGTTTTTTTGATGTCGTTAAGTTGAGACCAGGCGTCTTAAGTCAGTTATCCCTGTCGATAATCCCTGCTTCTAAGAGAAACACAACACGGGGTCACGTGGGACCGTGTTAGAGTTCAAGTCTGATCCTCTTTAGCGGCGCGCGTACCTACCCCAATCAGTGAATATGAGGACCAGAGAATACCAGCCACCGAACGACAAGTATTCATCCTGTAATGTTTCCTCGGGCCATCCATATCCAGTGAAGTTATCTCTTTCTAATCTAGCGGCCTATTCACGGTCTAATGAGCCGAGAAGAGAGAATGACGTCTGTTAAAAGCCATGGCTTTTTCGAATTCGTTCCGGGAGTGACTTGCATGCAAGCAACGCCATCAGGCTTGGAAGTACCTGTACACTGCAACGGTGGCACAGGAATGAGTTTCCCCGCGGAGGACAAGGGCGTGTGCGCTGGGATATCTCAGCTGAGATGCTTGCCACTTTGAAATAAGGCCCGATGCAGTTTCTCGGACATTTACAGCGCCTGGTGATAGTTGTCCCCCAGTAAGAAAAATTCGAACAGCAAGAGGCACAATACGTTATCACAAGACCTCTGTGGTTCTCAACAAGAAGATAACAGATTAGACCTTATATTTCATTATAGTCACGTGTTGTGGCATTTCCCAAACTTGGACGTGAAACCAATATACCAAGGTAATGCACAACCATAACGACTTTGTAAGTTTATGGTGACCTGGCTTGCTTACTACTTCTACTTCTGTCTCTTATGCACCCAACGACTTCTTTTTCTGGGATCCCGAGGGCTCGGCCTGTAGAGGGATGGGAAATAGTTAGACAAATTTCTGGCAATACACTTTCGATCATTATAAAGGAAAGCTAACAGTACAGAAGTGAGAAAGCTGTAGATAATATAAGTATGCATTATAGGAAGGCATTGGTTGTATAAAGTATGTATGGTTATTCTTGCTGACTTCTTTCGCAACTATCGTGTAAAGATTATCGTAGCTACAACCATCATCGTTGAGTCCGTTACATTAATGACAGCCTGCACCCAACAGAGCATCCCGCCACTATATTTAAAAGGTGTTCCTCATTTATCTACTTGTGTACTGTAAATGAGAGTATCGTATCATATTCGGGTTACAACCAAGATGCAATTCACTCTCGTGTATTTGAAAGGTACAGGGTAGTCATCATGCCAGATCTCCGACGTTTTCCCGCTATACCTCAATCAAGCTTAACATTCGTCACTCACACTATTTCAGCATATAACACAACCGAAACCCTTAGCTTCCGGAGTGACGGACCGTCGCTCTCTGGGAGGCATGATAATCGACTCTTGACATGCGCGAGTTCATGGACTATGTCCACAGCGCTTTTTACGAAGCTACAGGATGGAATCGTGACAACTCATACGCAGCACTAAATGTGACGAGTGATGGTGAGACCCTAGTATTGACTCGAGCTCTGACTTGTGTACTGATGATATAATGTGTAGCGCTTCTAAACTTCCAGACCCCTTTAGGATTACGACTCACACTGTCCTCCCTTGCGAGTACCAATTTTGCGACATCGTACCAGCTCGGTTCAGTGGGAATTGTTGATGGATCCATCTCATACCTGTTCTCATCAGTCCCGCTTCGACTCCTCTTGACACCGCAGTCGGAAACTGTCAATTTACCAGAGCTTTTACGCTCATATAAACCACTCGCCGAACTCCCTCACCGAACGAACCCGTTCCTCCAGACGTCCAAGGACAAGCCGGAATCGTCTCTTCTGTACGGTCGACTCTACCTACCCCAATCCCTACTCGAAGCCCTGGTCGTTAAGCGATTGTCGCCCGCGCTCCAAGTCCAACTCAGTGCTGTTTCTGCACAGCACCTTAAGAACGGCGGCACAGTACTGGGATTGGCACAATATGACGTGGGCAGGTACGCGCTCGAAGGTTTGGCGTCCTCAGATGGAGGACTGCTCGGCTTCAGGGGTGTATATAATTTCGGCGGTGATGCTGAGAAGCCGGAAGACCAAGCCCCTGCAGACAGTGATAGGGAGAGAGTCTACGGGCGGTTTAGCACTGGTGGAGAAATCTATTACGGCACGCTGAATAAGTCAGGAGGAATCAGCGTTGGAACACGATTCGCGACGTTACCCACGCACAAGGGGACACCCTTATCCGCGACATTGACCTTGAACCCCCTGATGGGTAATATCAGTGCAAGTTATGCCGTAGTGGCTGGCAGGCATTGCAGTCTTGCCACTAGGATGGAGTTCAACGCATTCAGTTACGAAAGCACTTGGGCTATCGGCATGGAGCTCTGGCGGAAGCCATTCACACGCCTAGTTGTTGACGACGAACCAAAGGTTGATGACAAAGTGGTTGTCGACGATAATCCGGAAGAGAAACGACCAAAGGAGCGCAGCTTCCAAGCCAAGCTGGAATGGCGACTGGATGATCCTGAACCAGTTGCTGTAAAGCCATTGTTGCCTCCTACTCCGCCCCCGAAAGAAGAGACCGAACCAGAAAAGCCCGGAGAGGAGAGATATGCTGGAGTGCTCAAAACCCGGATGGACCAAAACATGCGAATAGGGGTGCTGTGGGAAGGGCGGGCCAAATCACTCCTGTTCAGCTTGGGTAGTAGCATCGACCTGAGGAAGCTTGACAAGCCTTTCCGGACGCTTGGACTGGAAATACAGTTTTCATCATAAGGCCGTGGTGTGAAACCATGCCACGCTTTGCGGATGGGTACACAGCAGGATGTTGCTACTGCAGTCGGGCCGTAGGATCGTGGTAAGCATATGCCATCTGGCAGGGCTATGGTAGCTCATGCATGTGATGCAGCATGATGGACATGAAAACTCACGGAGTATGCCAAACGGGAATAGCGATAGGGAGGACGGTTAGCGGCTGGCTTGTGGGGACACTGATTGGAACTTCAATTGTTTAATACTGCTAAGGTTAATCTGTACGATCATGGAAGCATATCATAGGCGTTAAGGGTTGAAGCATTGGCTCGGGGCGAGTTTATAGATTTGGAATTGATGATGAGAGTTGCTACACACTTCTGTACCTACCGCATCAAACAGGTATTTATTTCTCTGAGAGCATCTTTCGTAATATTGGTTTCCTCAAAATGACCCTGATATCAAAGGTGCATTAGTTTATGTGCTTGTCTCGAATTGACTCCTTCGGTCAAGCTGAAAGGTCTAATATTGCCGTCAGAGCCGATTGAGAGGCCTTTTGGCGGTCGAATTGCGCGTGGTATTTGAACGAGAACCTTGATGGCCTTCACGTTCTTTGGAATAGTTGAATGTGGCTGACAGCAAAGTGCCAGCCAATCATATATGGTATAATTGGTATCTTGGAAAATTACGCCACACTTTGCGCTTGAGGCTCTTCCAACGTTATTTGGACTTTTAGTTACCATTCAAGTATAAGATATCGCAGAATTATGTCGTAAGTTAACACCGATTTGGAAAATCTTAGCAAATCGAGCCAAGTAAGAGTGAGAAGGTGTTTATTTGATGACTAAATATTTACAGCTCGAAATGTACATATATATCTGCCACAGTTTAGAAACTTCTTCAACAGCGCTAGTCGTTCACTTGATGAGGCTAAACTGTCCATCAAGGTTCTCACCTTAAACTGACCCACTCCCACTCTGCAACTAAACACTCCTCGAAAATAGAGAGATTGTGATAACTAATGTTCATATCCCGCCTTGTGTCTCATATTTGGTCATTGTGGACCGTATCATACCTGCCAAGGAATGTGGCAGTTGCCGAGTTCCATACCCTTGGGATGGGATTTTATCATGTCACCGAGAAAGGCTAAAGACTTTGATTTATGTTATCTATGGCTTTGACAAAGGGGGTTGTTTTAGTTATCAGATTACATACTAGTTCTAGTAAGTGATTAACAACAACATGCACTTCACAGATGGATAGACTGGTTGTTAAACACACAAGTACTAGGATTCATAAGCGTCAACGCTCACCATTGCTTTTGATAACACGCCTATGATATCCGCTAAACTCCCTAGTCCTTGATAGAAAACCCACTCTCCAGTGTTAAATCTCCCCCTCCTACGCCTGAGCTCGAACAGTTCTGGTCAATGCATCCCTCGGCACCTCGCTTCCGTCCGTTAAGAAAAGCTGGGTCCTGCCCTGCGCTGTGCAAGGCTAGCCAGAAGCCAACCTGCGTAAAAGCCCGATACCTTCTTCTTGCCCACTTTCCTTAAGACGAGTTGGTGCCCATCAAGGTTCGTCGCGACATTTTTTTCACGTAGAGGGATTTTTGTTGTTGACTGGTAAAAAGGATATATAGACTCGCTGGTCCAATCTTAGTTGAATCTCTCAGCAGCAAAACATTTCGTAGCAATTTGTACTACTAGTTCGTGTCTTGGCGGTTTGATCTCGCCCGAATCAAACAGCACGATTACCCTTGGTTGCTTCCTTTTTGGGGAAAAAGGCATCGAGATAATCCTTGGCTGTACAGCTTTACGTCTTGGCACTTGACGACATCTTTTTCGACTACAACCCTTACCTCACCTCACGGCCCGCAGTCTACCTTAGTAGCCTACTACCTATTGACCCGCGCATCTTTTCTGGGTCGTGCGGATATCTCGTACATAAGGTGGTTGGTTCCCTTCGCCTTCGCCTACATACCACACTCTTTCTCTCGACATCTTCTACTCGACAAAATGGCCGACGCAGCAGAGTGCAATGGCGAGGCCGTCGATCTCGGCCGTAGAGGTCTCCGAATCGGCGCAATTTTCATCATCATGGCCTCCTCGCTCATTGGCGCAATCTTGCCTATTTTCCTGGCGCGCCAGAAGACGATCCCCGTACCCAAATTTACCTTCTTCATTTGCAAGTTCGTCGGTACCGGTGTTATTATAGCGACAGCTTTTATGCATCTTCTGGTCCCGGCCGTCGAGAACTTGGGCGACGAATGTCTCGAGGATCGCCTGGGTGGCTACGACTGGGCCGAGGCAATCGCCCTCATGACCGTCATGGTCATGTTCTTCGTCGAAATGCTCGCCGCTCGTCTCAGCAACGCCGATATGGAGCACAACCACTCTGACGAGTTCGACCCTGCCATGGAAGTCATTGCCAAGAAGTCACCCAGCACCGACATCGAGACCGGAGACCGCAGGGCATCCGGCTACGCTCCTGGAGGCGATGAACACCTTGCCCATGGTCGTGAGCACAAGGAAGGCGATGCGCAGGGTGGACTTGCTGGCCAACTTCTCGCCATCTTCATTCTCGAGTTCGGAGTTGTGTTCCACAGCATATTCATCGGTCTCACTCTCGGCACGATTGCCTCTGATGAGCTTACGGTTCTCTTGATCGTCCTTGTATTTCACCAGATGTTTGAGGGTCTCGGTCTTGGTTCACGTCTGGCTGTTGCTCCTTGGCCTAGGAACCGACAGTGGATGCCGTATCTGCTCGGTTTCATTTTCGCTCTGTCGACTCCCATTGGTATTGCTGCTGGCATAGGAGCTAAGCCCAACAACGCCAGCGACCAGAAGCTTATCAACGGAATTTTCGATGCCATCAGTGCTGGTATTCTCATGTACACTGGTCTGGTTGAGCTCCTCGCCCATGAGTTCATGTTCAACCCTTACATGCGCAAGGCCCCCATCAAGATCCTCTTGCTGGCATTTGCTTGCGTCTCATTTGGTGTTGCTGTTATGGCTATTCTCGCCAAATGGGCATAAAGTAATCAGAGTGGAAGATAACGTTGCGAAAATAGTCTTTTCTCATGTGGAGTTGGATCGGGACATGGTAGTCTTTTTTTTTCGCATTGCGTTAGACGGATAGAATTGATACCTGGACTGTTTATTGTTGTTTCTACTATTAATGAAAGCCCTTTTCCTTCTCACTTGATTCATTGTGACATGATTGCTTTGGGATATGCGCTGTCAGCTTGCCTATCGTCTGTTGGAACGCGAATAGTGAATGGATGGCCAAGTGATGGTGCATCCACTGCACGCATGAAGTCGTCAAGAAGCATAGTAAGTGGTACAGCATAAAGCGGGTGATGTGTGTATGTAGTCTTACCACTGGTAAGTTACCAGTGACTTATACGGACATTTCCTCATTTGGTTGCATGTGTGATATTTCCGAAAGTTGATCCACTTTGACATACAGTGCGAAAGACCAATGCACGGTACGGCAAAGACTGTGCAAAAAGTGGAGTAGGGCCTTAAAACCCTACAGCGAAAAAATGAACACCAAATCTAGCAAATTGATCTTCGAGCTCAACCATCGCGACGCTTCGACAACCTCACCCAACGACTAATCTCCCTCCACCCACCCAACCACCCAACCAATACCGCAAAAATGGCCGGCGGAGTTACTGTTCGCGATGTCGATGTAGGTACTCCCTAAAAGAAATTACACAGGAAACGAAGGAATCGATTATTCCTGGGCAAAAAATACCCCCCGATCTCTACTCGACGACTTGGCAACACAATTTCCACGAGAACCGCTTGCCCCCCTGCGATGGCGTTGGCTCAGCGCCGAAATATTACATATTAATACTCGAAACGCTGTGTCGGCTGCTATGCGCTGTAGGGCTGGGTACAAATGGGATTGAGGAGCAGGCGCGAGGGAGTCGAAAGACTTCTGACGACGGAATCATGCTAATGGGTTTTGTGACTGCAGGCGCAGAAGTTCATCACTGCCTACTCTGCTTTCTTGAAGCGTCAGGGCAAGCTTCCCATCCCTGGTAAGACCCTCATCTACTCTAAACCAACAAGATTAATGCTGACTGACCAACTCAGGTTGGGTCGACACCGTCAAGACTGGTCCTGCCAAGGAGCTTCCTCCCCAGGACATTGACTGGTTCTACGTCCGTGCTGCCTCTATCGCCCGCCACGTCTACCTTCGCAAGACCGTCGGTGTCGGCCGTCTCCGCAAGGTCCACGGTACCGCCAAGAACCGCGGCAGCCGTCCCTCCAAGCACGTCGATGCTTCCGGCTCCGTCGACCGAAAGGTCATGCAGTCTCTTGAGAAGATCGGTGTCCTTGAGCAGGACGAGGAGAAGGGTGGCCGCCGCATCACCCAGGCTGGTCAGCGTGATTTGGACCGTATTGCCCAGACCACCGCTGAGGCCGAGGAGGAGGAGGATGACGAGTAAATTTAGTCTTCAATCAAATTAACTCGAAAAAAGTCTGGCGGTTCTTTACCCGGTCAATGGTAGCAATGGCAATGGATTTGGGCGTTGGGTCATAGATTTTGTCATGTATGAATGAGATTCCCCTGACTCTGGGTCATTCGGTTTGGTCAAATTGCACCCGTCCAACTTGTCGTTCATCCCATGGTCGATTCGTTTTTCTGTGAATGTGTTTCTCTGTGTGTGATCCTGTGGATCTAGGTTGCTGCCTACTTGGATCTGAAACGTGAATGTTATGCTCCTTGGCCTCTGCTCGTGGATATTGCCCCCCCCTTTCATGGGATCTCCGTTGATCTCCCCTCAAGCACCATTCGCCTGCCTCAGGGCAACTTATCGTGAGCGCCAGCGCCTTTTATTTCTGAGCGCAATATCCTGTTACATTTCATTTCTTCTTCGAGGAATACGAAGATCTCTCCTGCTTTTATTCATACGTTGTTTGACTCGGAGAAAGTGAGGCTATCGCGATGACTGAGTGCCTCTGAATGAGTTCCTCTCAAGCAGTTATCCCCTTGCTTTTCAAACATACGCCCACGATCACTATCAACCTAGCTATGTACGCTTCACGATCGCACTCTTTCTTTGAATCATCAGTTATGAGCGTGGTGTTGAGAACTCCTGTGTGAGATATTCTCCTTGGAGAACCCCCTATGCCAGAGGTGAGCAAAATTGTCGGCATTAGGAAAAGGGAGCAAGCGGTCGTGAATCACGATGCTCTCGATGATTCCCTTCCTGATCTAAGCTTATCATCTGAAGCGGAGTGAACTGAAAGTGTGCCCCAACTCCAATTCCTTTCACATCTCATCTAAGAAACTCACACTAACTCACCACTAGATATCACTCTTCATTGTCAAACATGTCTTTTGCTACAAACTTACCCTCGGCAAACATGCAAAGCTCCGAGGAAGTGGCAGAGGTGCTTCCGACATTTGTGTCTTCCATCAGCAAGTCATCGCCACTCATCTTCTTTTACCACATAATCGACCCTGAAACAACAGCACTCACCATCCGGGTGCTCGGAGCTAACATCTCCTTCCAATTCAGCCACCAGAGAGCAAAACCTTTTCTCAGTCGATCTAATATACTACGTCAGCTAGAGAATAAAACGGTGGGTTTTATCGCCGTCGCGACACCTCAGTCACAGCGCATTGTTTTAGCCGCTGCCGAATCAGGCCATGGTTTCGGGAAATATGGCGATGTTCTCGACAGAAAGACCGGCGTACTTCCAAATAGTGTTTGGGCGAGACGAGTGGTGGCCATGGGTAAGATCCTTGGCTTGAAGATGAGACGCCCCTATGACAATCCCCATCGCAGGGGCACGAACACTGATGGGATCTTTCTCGGATCCCATGTTGAAGTCAAACTCGCGGTTCATGGCATCTGCGTTCTCCTTAAAATGTTCGGAATCACCAAAGACTTGGACAACATCACGATGGAACATCTGCACAAGCTTCGTCTCGTTCGCTGGAATGATGGCACTCGCCCTGTCTTCGAAGTGTACTTCTCCCGAAAGCACTGCATTCCATGCAAGCTTTTGGTAAAAAGGTTGTCAGAAGCTACTGGGGTCACAATCAGATTACTGTGGAGGGATCGACTCGTCAAGAAAGAATATCTTATTCGGAAAACGGACAGAAGTTTTCGTGGTAAAGACCAGGGTCAAGACCAGCCTGTACCTGACCCCCAGGATTATGACTTTGGTGACATCCTCCCTGACGACTCAGACATAGAAGTCATATCCGACGATGAGGATATAAGGAATGCCGACCATATCGACCTGACCGGCATACGACCCACGTCACCAGCTGGCATCTCAGCAGAGATCGACGATCTTCTTGACGGCCTCGCCTATCGAGTAGGCCAGATAGAAGAGTGTCCAGAAGGGGCGACAGCCGCTATCGTCGGGTTTGCCAGGACTATGAGTGCTCATAACAGAAGCAAGAACCTGCTTAGGGACGCAAACGTCAACAAGCCTCTTCCCGCGACACCGGTGATAGAAGCACCAATTGACGTACTTGAAAGCGGTGAACGACAGCGAAACACATTCCCCCGTGCTCAAAGGAGCCTCTTTGGACGATCACGCGAGCTTGGCGGCGCAAGAGCGAGGAGCGCTTCGCCTTGCAGAATTATGAGAGAACCGATCCGAGACCGTTCTCCTAGACGGTATAACTTCACAAGTCCGGAAAACTGCTCAGCGAGTGTCGTGGAACATACTCAATACAGTTCGCAACCCTGAATAACGCTCCAAGAACGATTGACGAGCATCTACGAGACAATGCATTACGAATGACGTTTACGATAATGATCGAGAGTGGTGTGGATGGGATGTTGTGAAAAGCCCCTGGAGCTTCACGTTTTTGGATGGCCAATGCTACCTCGACATGAAGTCGGAATCGGTAACGCCAAGGGACTAAGTATGGTGATATTCCAGAGAGCTCCAGGCGGTGAGAAGGCCATGTACAGCAGATACTAGGGTTTGACATGTATCAAGGGATTCATTAATTATCTTAATTTGGAGAACATTCGCTATCAATTCTTTATGCTCGTATCCCACGACTGTATCCTTTATTGCTTCTATCCAGTCCATGAATCCTCTTCAAGTGATCATATCATTTCGTATTACTTCAAGTTTCTTGCAATATCTCTCGAAACCCGTCAGCCATAGTTCCGATGACAACATCCACATTAGGTGCTTCTGGTCCTTCCTCAGCCTCCTCCTTTGCTGCCTTGAGTGCTTGCTCCCTTCCCTCTTCCGTGCCCTCGACACCAGTCTTGCCCATGGTGATGGCACTCTTGACATCCTTTCCATGTCGGACTGGCCCCTTGGGCGAGGCTGGTGTGATGGGCGTGGCATCGAGAAGACTCTGCCAGCGCGAAAGATACATGCCTGGACCTGTCATGTTGCCGGATTCTGAGTCGTCCGAGTCGATTAGGCGCTGGAGACGGCAGAGGGAAAGAGCTTCGACCTGTGCGAGGTAGGCGGCGTGGTTATCCAAAGCATTGAGTACATCCTTCTGAGTCTTCTCAGGGATAGACTGGAACAGCTTATTGAGTTTCTCGTCCATGGCACTCATGCTCACTGTGCCATTGCTCGTCTTGCCTGAATGTTCACCCTTTGCCATGCTCACAGGCTTCCGCTCCTGACGGAACTTGAGAACAGCATCTTGGGTCCAACTCTTCATCTCCTTCCAGACATCAGGGCACGATTTCGCAAATGCGTGAACCCACCTATACATGAGCTCTCGGTTTCTCATGAACAAACCAACATAGTCATCGACAGTGGGCAGGCTGCCAGAATCATTTGGTTTACTGGTCTTTATAAACTCGTCGATGAACAATTGTGCCGACTCCATGTGCTCGCGTAGATCTATTTGAGAGTGCACCGTACGGATCATGGGCTCATATGCCGCGAATAAATCCTTGATTGTTGCAGTGAATAGATCGGGAGGCTGGCGACAGAAAGCTGTCGTTATGCCCTCGCGGTCGCGGACCGAGAGAAGTGCGGAGTAATACTCAAGACACTGTGCGTGCTTCTGATCGTCGAGTTGGGTTGCCAATGTTGGGTTGGAGCCGTTGAAAATAGCTGTGATGATAGACTGCGCGTGCTCCTCGCTGGCATTTCTGACAGTTTTGTGCTCATCACGACTCAGAGCAACGTACTGACGAATCGCCTCAAGCATTTCATCACTGGGTCTGTCCTTTGCTTTCTCGACTTTGTCAGCGCTCTTGCGGAACTCTCCAGCATCCCAAGACAACACCAGAGAAATGATTCGCTGCAATAGGTTCATGCCATCATCAGCGTTGGCGGTCAGGCCGATCCAGTTGGTGACGCTGGTGACACTCAGCTTAGCAAGGAGTAGGCGCATCATGCCGTTGATCATACCGGCGGCATTGCCCATCCGTAGCGTCTGCTTGATCATCTTGTAAGGGATTAGGCCGTGGATGTTTTCGAGGAGCTTGAGAAGATATCGGCCTTCAGGGGAGAGGACAAAGATGTGGTGTATGAAAGTAGCAAGGCTATATGATTTGGTTAGATGTGAGTAAAAGTGAACTGGTAGGGAACAACATACTGAATGATGGCGTACTCCGCCGCAGCACCAATGACAGGAGAATGACTCTCAACATCGGGAGTTTTGCTAAAATGATCAAACATTTCATCCGCTAGAGTTCCATAGACCAGTCCCTCGACAACATCGTTCCAAGCCTTGACTAGATCCGTCGCCTTGGTGCGATCGTACTCAACCTTGCTACCGGCCTTCTTGTCCAAAGACTTATCTAAAGGATGCGTTTGCTTGACACCGCCCAAGACTCCTCGACTGACCATCTCAAGCAAGCCGCTTGACCCTGTGGCCAACACCTTTCTTGTTCCCACGGCGCCCTTGTCATAGCTCTCCGACAACTCCGCTTCTCCAAGTCTTGTCAATAAGCCTTGTACTCGAACAGACCAAAACTCTCGTGGTAGATCTTTGATGCCGGGAAGCTTCAGGATGAACCTATTTAGCATCGCCTGAAGAATAGGGGCTGTGGAGGGCTTATTGCCATCATCACCGTCGTTGCTGACCGGCTCTTTCGTGTCCTTTGTATCCTTGCCCTTGGGCGTTCCAGGTCTTGAGTTGGCAGGAGTTCCAGCCCAACTTCTCCATCCTGTACTTGGTGGGGCGCTCTGTGTAGTCTGTGGCTCAACCACTTTTCTCGCAAAGGGATAACCGTAGCCTGTGATTGCATCTGGAGACTTGAAGCCTTGTATTTCGGTGTATGTTTCGTAATGTGTGAGAATGTCAAATAGAGCATGCACCTGTTCAGGTGCTAGAGTCACAGACGTCATGGTGTACGCTGTTTCATAGAGGACTTATAGGGAAAAGTAAAGATGAGAAAGACAGGAAGGATATGAAATCCAGAAGAATAAAGAAAAGGATTTGGTGGATGACAAAATGTTTGTTATGACTTGCGATGGTAGCGATTATGAGAAGTTTTGGTACGTAAATAGCACTGATTACTTACTTAGGTAGATATCGCTGCATCTACTTACCTACCTATCTTAGCAAGTATCCAACGTTGAATAAAGGCTTTCTCCAAGAGCGAGATGCACGTAACTTTGTCCCTCCATGGTGACGTCGTCTTGAGGCTATACGTCACTAAACCTTTTCTGCACCAACCCCACTTCACAACCATAGCATAGCATAGCACAACACAGCACAGCACAGCACAGACAGCGACTGGTAGACTGTATTAATTGTCATTCTACACGCTATGTCACAATCATGCTCACAATAAATACACATGATCAAAGATTTATCAAGGTAAAGGGGTCAATTTCAACTATCAAATAATCGTGTATGCCCTCAAACAAAGGGGAAACGAAACGGCCGTTATTTCACTAATTAATAAACCTGTAGTTTTCTTAACCAAGCACAGTCTTGTGCTTTATCCGCCAGTCGTTGCTCCCAGTGTGGTATCAAAAACAAAAGAGAATAAAGACAACTCAAGTGCAGGGGCATGGGTATAAGCATCAACAATCCTCCACAATTATTTTCCTGTGCCTAGTTGGCATCCTCGTCACAAGGGTTCTAAACAGTGTTCATGGTCTGTCCAGCCATAGGGACCTGTCCCGTGGGGATCTGGCCGTTGTTGAGGCCATTGCCAGCAAGGTGCTTGCTGTTAACGCCACCGTTCAGACCGTCTCCGTGACCGACGTGGTAGCCATTGCCGTTCATGGCGCCATTACCAGTGTGCTGGTGTCCGTTGCCAGCAGGGTAAAAGTCGTAGTCAGCGTTGGTGTCCTTAGGACCGAGGTTGGATACGGGGTGAGCCTTGCGCTGGATCTTGGGGGCGGCAGGGATATCGGTACTCTTCTTAGCAGAACCGATGGAGAAGACAGGGCTCTCCCACTTGTCGCCCTTGCGGGCAAGCTCCTTGTACTCGGTGGCCTTGGTGCTGATGCCACCAGGGAGGTCGATGTTAGGGAAAATGCTGTCCTCCTTGGTCATGGCAATGTTGGCCTTCTTATCGGAAGCGATTTCTTCAGCCTTCTGCTTCTTCTGCGTGAACTGCTTCTGAGCGGCAGTGTAGTAGCGGTTGTAAATGTTGGGAGCGTTCTCAGGGTTGTTCTTGGCCTCGGCTGTGGCGCGCTCGGCCTCCTGCTTGACCTGGTAGCACAGCTGGTCAAGCTTGTTGCACTGGTCCTTGATGGCCTTCTCGACAGCCTTCTGCAGAGGAGCCTTAATGACCTTGAGCATGATGGGCTTCAGAATAGAGAAGAGCAACTTGTGGTTGGACTTCTTAACCTTGATCTGAATCTTGGCAAAGTCAACGTCAACCTTCTCAACCTTGAAGTAGTTCTGACGGTCCTTCTTGTCAGCGGTGGACACCTTCATCTTAAAGGAGAAGCCGTCGCCGGGGAGGACGATGTCAGCAACACCAGTGTCTGTGAGAGAGGGGAAGCCCTGCTTGCGTTTGACGTGGAAGCTGACGTCGCGAAGGTCCATCTGAATGCCAGCGACCTTGACCTCCATGGTCTGGTGGTTCTTGTTAGCAATCTTCTTGCGGCCCCAGCGGAAGTAGTGCTCGCTGGAGACCTCAAGGACGTTGGGAGCGAAGTTGTCGCTCTCGAGAACAAGGTTCTCAATGATGGCATCGAACTGGGAATCGGTGTACTCGATTCGGGGAATGGGGACGTAGGCAATGTTCTCCAGGGCGGCGGGAATGATAACATCCCTCAAGTCCTTGAGCAGATGGGGCTTGAAGACAGGCTTGCCGTCCTTATCGTTGCCAAGATCCTTGAAAAGCTTTGTGAGAGACTCAGCAAAGGCGTGGTTCTGGGGATCTTGGTCGAATTGATCAGCAAGAAACTTGATCTCGTCAACAATGCGGTCGGTGTGACCGCGGTACTTGTTGCGGAGGAGGTATCGACCCTGGTCGTAGAGCTGATCCCACTCACGAGTGGACTGGTCCTCGAGGATGTAGCCCTGCTGGAGGAGGCATCGGCGGATGTAAGAGTCCATAGCCTTGAACCAATCCTTGAGCTCGCGGTCGTTATCAGCATCGCGGTAGATTTGGCCAATAGCCTCCCAGAGGTCCTCAGTCGAGGTACCGTTGGCGAATCGCTCAATGATAGTTCGGAGATCGCGCTCAGCGGCACCGAGACCACCGCGGGCGTCCTTAGCAGTTGTGGTGGATCCCTGGCCAACGGTGCGACCGTGGCGGCTGTAAGTCTCAGCCAAGCGGAGGAGAGTCTGAATAGCCTGTGAGTAGTCCTCGTGCTGCTGGCACTCAAGAATCATCTTCTTGAGGCGCCAGATAGTCTGGTCCTTGCGCTCCTGAGGCATCTTCTTGTTGAAGTAGTCGTGAGCCTTACGGCGGTACTCCTCGTTGCGCTGGAGGATGTTCTCCTTAGTCTCAGGGTCGATCTTGTTGTCGAGCTTTTGCTCGGCGACCTGCTTGGCGGCACTCTTGCCAGCCTGGGGGTCGGTTTGGCGAGCGGCGTCACGAGCAGCATCAGTGGAGGGAATGTTGCCAGTCTCGAGGCCGGTGGTGGCCTGAGGTTGGGCACTCTGGTTGGGCTGGAGGTTACCCTGCTGTCCTGGGGCGGCAGAGTTGACACCAGCGGCAGCGATGTCCTTAGCATCCTGCTTGGGGTTTCCGCTATAGATGCCCTTGGCCTGATGCTTGAAGTTCTCTTTGGAGAAATCAGGGGCCTCGTGCCAGACGTTATCTTGAGCAGGCTCATCGAGCTGCTGGAGCTGCTCCTGAGAGGGTCGAACACGGGCAGCGGCGTTGGTAGCGGCATCACCAGCCATGTCACGGAAAAGAACGGTAGCATCAGAGAGAAGCTTTCGGAATTGGCCGTTGGTGATGAGAAGCTGGCCGAGGGTCCTCAAGCCCTCAAGAGCCTGGTCACCGTCCTGCTTGGCAGCATCCTTGCTGACAGGAGCGTTGGGTGTGTTGACAGCCTTGGGGTCGAACTGGGTAGTTTGGTAGATGAAGTCCTGGATCAAGTTTCCCTCGTTCTTGGAAAGGAGAAGGTGCTTGGCTTGCTTGATAGCGTTGGCGGCATCCTTGACCAACTCCTGACCTTCAGCGGACAGCTTCTCGTGACGGCCAGAGAGGGCGCGAGAGGCGAGGAAACTGCTTAGGGCGACATCGATTTGATCGTTCTGGAGGCATTATGTGTCAGCTTGGGGTGATTATTTGCGTACCGAGTTAGAAATACTCACTGAAGGAACCTTTCCGTTCTGGAAAGCAGAGATGATTCCGTAAACTTGGAGCTTGCGGTTGACGTCGGCTTCCTTGGTTTGGACGTTTGTAGGTTTGTTGACGTTTGCACCGGTAGACATGATAGGCAACGGTGTATGGGGTATATCTCGTTATTAAGTCGTTATGCCACCGAAAAGTATGACGTTAAGCTGATGACTCTAGAAAAGGAAGAGATGAGGCGAGGCGATGATGTTATTGTGAGAGGACTTGTTTAGACGTGGCGTTTCGTAACAACGTAGGTGGGTGATGATAAAAAAAGGGAAAAGCTGTTTGTTGTTTGGTATCCTAGGGGATGGGTATCACAAAGCAGTTGGGTATTGTTATTAGGTATTGGACGGGAGATAAAATGAAACGGGAAAGGAGACCTGGTGTAAGGCAGGAGAGAGGCTGGATATGATATACTTTTTGCTCAGGAGACTTCCCGTGACAGGCAGGAACGGAGGGAACAATTAAGTAATGCAATGGGGGTGACGGGGTTAGCCAAGCCAAGGTTCCATTGCCATTACCTTGAGTTACACGTTTTTTCCCTGGCTGGATCCGGGCAAGAATTGGTGGTTGGAAGGGAGTGACGTTGACGTTTGCTAAGGGCGACGACGGTGATCGAGGACGTCATCGGGGCCATGGACAAGACTGTCAATCGTTGGCCAGGCCCCAATACAGCGCCAACGCTACCTCCTACATGCTAGAGTAGCTATCAAGGCAACTAAACGCACTGGGCATACTGACCCCCGGGGTTATTGGCATTGGCATTGGCATTGGTATCCATTCATTGAATCACTATTGTTTGTGCTGGGTTTGCTGGCAGCCACCCCTGCTTGGCTATGACATTGAATCCGGAGTGAACACTACGGCTAGCAAGGGTATCTTGCTAATCTAGACAGGGGGTCAGACGAATCATCCATACAATGTATTGCGATCCATCCTCCCATCCATCACCATGATCGGGGAAAAAAGGATGAAGGAATATTGCTAGTCCAGACCAGGGCACCAGCTGAAGATAATCAGGGTTACATCTTTACATCCTGAAGAAGTACTTTTATCCCCAATTAGAGATGGTTTCATAGCGCCAGGGGAGAAGTTGAGGGTGGGCGTCCTTGTCAAGCCTCAGCGTTTACACTATCCCTTGTTGCTATGATAGCTTGGCGACGATCAGGGCTCGCTGGATCGTGATATGATATGAAATGAAGTGAAAGCCGTTGACAATCACAAGCCACAGTTTGTTCATTGTTACTGTCGACATATTCACTGTCAAAGTCAGCCCATAATGCAGGTTGTCCAGGCAAAACTCATCAAATCTTGCAACATGTCTCACCGACCCCTGTCTAGATGGTTCAGTAAATGAGAGCTAATAAGTGAGACCAGTCAAAAGAGAAGAGAAGAAAAGAGAAAGATCTGATGCAGTCTTTCTTTCACTGCTTGCGCGCTGCCAGGAATTGATCAGTGGTACAAGTCTGACCTGACCCTGTGCGTCCTTTCACCCTGGCATCTCTGTGTTTGTTGGTGAATCGACGATAATGGAATTTTGACATGATTGATACTGAATCAATCCTTCGATATTAATTTTTGAATTATTCCCGACATCTTCATCCCGGATCTACCAAAGTGGGCTCTCGCTTCGGCGCATTAAAACGAATGATCTACCTGCGTCATGATAGTTGATACCTTGATGTTATACCCAAGCAAGGATTGCCGATGAGCCTCCGATAATCTCTTCTTGGAGTCGAAGAAAAACAAGGATAACATGGTCTTGGCTGGAATGAAATTGGAGACCGCCCAGAAAGGTGGGAGCTCTAATTACTGAGTCGACAGCACTAAAGACTAGAGCTCTCCCCAGGTCTCCACTGAATTAAAGAAAAGGGCCAGGCCAAGCCATCATGGATTCTTAGTAGGAGCTCATGAGAGAAATCGTCATAGTCTAATTTCCTGACCCAATGACGCGTAATGGCCCAAATTTGACAGCTTTGTTCTGATTTGATTTGTAGAGTCGTACTAATGCCTGTCCTGTTTTTTTCTTTCCCTTATAGGTGCTTTTGGTGCCGTGCTGAGCCTGCAAATCCTACAGGGAGCGGAAAGAGGCCCATCGATTAATCTGCCGCGCGTGGGCTGATCGATCGTGTCAAAGCTCTTGTTAGCTCGACGTTAAAGTGATCGCATGACGTCACATCGTCTACAACTGAAAAAGAAGTAATAGCGACGTCAGTTTCACGTTCCCTGTCCTTGTCTAGGGTGGGTTCCAAAATCGGCATCAGGATGCCATGAATTAGGAAATTCTATTAAGAAAGATGGTGTCGAGACATGTCAAGGATGAATGTTAAATATGGACACAAAATGTAGAGATGCTTCAAGTGCCGTGTCGTCTCTTTGTTTGTCTGGTTGACTGACTGACTGACTGACTGACTCTCATGTTGGCTGTCGAGGCAATACCCGAGTACCTACATCAACATGTGAGAGGAGAACTGAGACTGAGACGTCGATGGCTAATGACTTTTGTAACCGAGGGTTACGTCTTGACGTGTTTCGTCAGTATTAGACTAGCTTTGAGCCACTGAACGCATCAACACACCCTTTCTCATGACTCCATCCACACAAAGACGGCCTGTCTCTTCGACTTCTTCTAGTGCTTGAGCTGTCACTTGTTCCTAATCGAGTCTTTATCAAGAAAGAGTAGTCACCATACAATTTGGGTCTTTCTGAAAATAAAGTGAGTCCTATCTTAGCTCAGATGATCTTCTCGCTTTACCTTTCTCTAGGTGCTCGCGTGCTCGGTTAACTGGGTTGATCGTTGCCCAGTCGAGCTGCATCTCGAGCCACAACACAACGTGCTCAGTTGCACACGCGTAGCGTCTAGATTCACATAGACCCATCATCTCCGCCTTGTGAGTTGCCCATTGGTAACACTGCCGATGGCTTTACGGGGCACGGGCACGGGCACGGGCACGGGCACGTAACTTGAAACCATGCAAGCTTCCACCCGTTGCAAGAACAACATGGTTACTACTAATACATCAAGCATGCAGTGCTGTTTACTTGTCCACACTCATCAAGTGCCTTAGCATTATTAAACCTTCCAAGTTGCTGTAGGGTACCTCTGGTTGCTACAGTAGTATGTAAATACGTGTATTAACATGCTCCAATTACAAGACATTGGCTGAATAAAAAAGGACGAGAAATTTCAAGCATTGCCATAGTTCGCCGTGACAGTAACATCACCTCATTCTCACTGTCGTCAATTTTACGCATGATGATATAGTTGAGGATCCTACATCTCGCCGTTTCCGCCCATCTCACTCACTCTGATCTATAGAAGAACACCAGGGCGGAATAATTAGTCTGAAGAAAAGTAAAGATTGCTTATTGACCTCTTAACGCCATCTATGCCGAATTTGTTGTGCTACATGCATTTCCATAAAGTGAGTCCATCATGCTTCATTCCGGCGCAGGATTCGACGCGGACCCTAGATCGTTGAAAAGGCTAGCCTTGACTTGATTTGCAATAAGACCTGATCGCTCCTTGGAAGCAATCAAATTCGCTTCCTTGGCTAGCTTGTCCACTGCCTTGTCGGAACTTTTTGTGCTTGTTCCCATCATCATGCCCTGGCCAGCTCGGCTCCGGGTAATACCTGTCGTCGCCTCCTTGATCTTGGAACTCAGATCAAGCAACTGCTTATTGCCGTAGTCTCGGTTCGTAATGAGCGGGTTCTGGCTGAGTGTCTGGACCCAGTACTTGTGCCAAAGTAGCTCTAGGAGGTGGGAGTCGAGAGAGCTCTTGAAGTGGGAGACTTCTAGGCTGTAGTATCGGCTTGCGTGAGCACCGAATTCGGCGGCCTTGGCGAGGGGTACTGCTTGGGTGCCATCTGAGGTGACAGCGCTGCTGGGCTTATAGTCGGCTGGGTAGGTTCTGAAGGCGCCGATGTCAACCTTGCCCGAGTTAATGGTACGATCGGGGTCGATCACGACAGCAAGGAATGGATCCTGGAATTGCTGCTGCATGGCTTCAGTGTCCACGTCGATACCACTCAACCAGCATCCATAGCCCGGGTGACTGTGGTACCAGCCCACGACGTTCTCCTGGCGCCCTTGGGCTCGGCATAGGTCTAGATATTCGACAATATATTCGTTCGCTTCGTCTTGGGCGTTGACTCGAGTCTCTGTTCCTTCGACAGGAAGTCGGAATGCGTCGGTGACGATGAAAGTGTCGCCTTGGGTGTAGCCTTGCATTAAGCCCATGACCTCGAGATTGCCGCCGGAGCGGGCATGCATGGTCATTTTGATGAGGGCGGTGGCACTTATTCGTACATGCTTGAAGTGACTGGGATCTTGCTTCCACGGTTGTTCCTTATTGATGACCTTTTGAGCATCGGCATCGAAGTTGTAGAGAGCGTCGCGTTTGGGGTCAACTAACTGGACATTGTTGTCCAACTCTGTCACAGTGGTTAGCTTTAGTTATTTGCACCAGTAGTGAAGAGCATACCCCATGCTTTGAGAGCCGATGCCTCCATTTTGACGGCCCTTTGTTGTAATATGCAGAATCAGAAAGGTTATAGTTCGATAGTGCACCAGTTGATGTTGGATGCTCAAGGCAGCTGCCCCGCCCCTTATCGATAAGAGCTGTGCACGTCAAGGATACCTCGTCTTATTTGATAGAGGGCTCTCGAGCATTCAAAATATTGTAATTTCAAGGATTAATAGTAGATATCTTTTACTTTGTTTCTAGCCTAGAAGAACAAACGACCTTGTAAGTACCTCAGTCTCCAATATGGCGTGCTCCTGTCCACAGGCAAGGGCAGTTTCATTCTCATGGAGTCATCATTGGCGCAATTGCTTTACCTGGTGAGTGAATCTCGGAAGATTTTATTTGTTTGCTCAACTCTATGTTGGAGTGCAAGACCTCAGTTCTCAGAGTGATGGTAGTTCTCAAACTGCCATTGGGCGAATCTATCATGCAGGCCATGATAGCTTCATTCTCATGGATTCATCATTGGCACGACTTTTGGATGTAGTAAATTTAAAAGTGAAAGCGCCTGCTCAACTTCCACTGTAATGCCTCAGCCTCGTGATAAAACTTGACCAGAAACTGGTTCCTGTGGCAGGAATAGCTTCAAGTCATATCGTAAGTTCATCATGGGCGCAATTCTTTCTCTTGTGGTGATTCGGACTGGCGAGGGATAGAATTCACTGGAATCGCAATCTATGTTGCGAAGAATCAGGATTTTATTGAGAGCTCAATATCCTACCGGTCAAAGTATAACCTCAAATTATGCGTTTACATTCGTCCATCCTCAAAATGCCAATAAACGCCAACCAGATACACAAATACCAATCCTTAGCATCGAAATGTCCTTCTTTTCCCACGAGTATAAAAGCTGAACAAAAGCATTAGTAGGATGTAAATAGATACGCGGTAAAACTTAAACCCATATTGTGCTCTTACCAGAATTCGAACCCGATTTAACTCGGAATGTTGTTCTCACTATCTCTTAACCTAATGCAATGGATACTTAGCGTTTTCTCACCAAGAGTTGGAAGATCCTCATCACATTCTCACCACTTCATACTGGTACCATCTTCTTTCTTTCCCTACGGCCTTTGAGATATGCTGGTACGAGAGCCAAACAGATCACGATGCCGAAGCCGCCGAATGCAAGGCAGATTGGTATGAGATTGTCCTTCAGACCGTCGCCGTGGGCCCGACGATGAAGGACGTGGTTTCGTCGCTGGAGATATTCGAATGATGGTATAGAATTCGTGGCCGGTAACTCGGCTGGAACCCTGAGAGCTGGCATGGTGAGAGTGTTTTAAAGGCGACTGAGTAGAGAGGGATAGTAGAAATCGGGAGATTGCCTAGGTCAAAAGGAGCTTTCCATGGACGGGAACTCCAAGGAAGGATAGGAGGAGAAAGTCACAGGGAGAACTAGATGGCCATTATTATATTTCTCGACATTAAACCTTAATGGATGTCCTTGCTAGAGAAGCCCGAAAACCATGCGTGCCATCAGATACACCAAAATGCCATTATCACAAAGTTATCCACGCGTCCACCAAATGTTGTCCCGTGAACATATATGTTAGAGTTGTAAATGATAATGAAACACAAACTATGACCATTCCGACGCGTAACCTCAGAGATAACAGAAAAGAGGAAAGATAAAATAAAGCCTCGCTTGTACATGTACATAGAATTCAAAAGGTGTGAGCCAAACTAAACAGCGCCGGTATAGGGAGCAGATGGATATTGCGGTCTCTGAATGCCCATGCGGAATCGGGGAACACGATCCATACGGTTTAAAGCAGTCGTAGGCATCCGAAGAACAGTCTCTCGATACATGGTTTGCGTCTCCCACTCATACGAGCATCCAATAGCTCGTTGCATTCCGCCTTCAGAGGCGCAGAACATGAGAGTGACTGGTGGCCTGACAGCTTCGAACAGGGTCAACTCCATGTTGTACGTGTCAACAAGAGTGAAGATCTAGTGATGTTAGTCAATCAACAGGTAAAGTCCAGAATAGAACTATTACTTACCCTCATCTCACCAGGACGAGCTTGCTTGGCTCGCTCAACCTTCATCCTGACCTCGGGATCTCTGCATGGATCAATTCCGACTCGCTCACCAAACTCATTGATCACACTGCGACTGAGGAGACTTCCGCTCGTAGACCAGGCCAGACGACCAAAGGCGCCACCAAAGATAGATCGTTCAATAGTGGGGGCATTAAGATGGCCCTCAAACCCAAACATCTCAGCTTGGGTGGCGGCAAACTTGCCACTGTAGATAACACGGACCAAGTTTGGCGTGATCATCCAGATGTAAAGGAACAAAAGAAGGAACAATACACCAGGGATGATGTAGGCTGCCCCATATGAACCTAAAGGAGCACCTGTTGCGAGGAGGGAGACGGCAATGATGAAGAAGCCTCCATTCCATTCGACCGCAAGTTCGGAGAACCATCTCTTCCAAGATGGGCCCGTAGACCAGTACACTGGATAGAAAGCCTTCCAGCGGATAGAAATGCCCCATGCGCCGTCTATGATGATAGTGTCATTGTCGGCAATGCCGGCGACTTGACAGTAGGGTGTGATATCCCAGAGAGAGGACTCGTATGCATCTTGCATGTCATACCAAGGCTGATTAATTGTTAGGGGAAGCGTGCAAATGTATCGCTCAAGCAGTTGATCTGAGTCATTCGCCAAAGAAAGTCTAGAGAAAGCTTGGAAGGCAGTGTCGGTTCGATCAACCTGTGGTCGAAGTCTCAAGAGACCCATGAGCGCATATGCCTGGTCACCTGCGAGATACTCGGTTGTATGGCGACTGTACAGACACTTGAGTGCGAGAACAGCCTGCTCAAGACGACTGAGGCTGATGGAGCCAAGGTAGTGGTCAATAAGGTGACGAGCCACATCAGAGTCCATGTATGTCCAAACCTGAGCGGCAAACTGGTTCTTGGCGACCACCATAGGGGACTGGAGGTTGCCATCACGAGTGTAGATTGAGATGGTACGGCCTGGACTCAGAAGAACCTCTGGGAATGTCCACATTCGGCTGCCCCATTCTCGTAGGAGGGACTCGGTGTTTGCTTTGCCTGAAGATCCGGCCTGGGACCCCTTGCCTCTTCCGACGGCGATGACCATTCTGTCTGAACCGCGGAGAACATCCGAGATACGATAGACCTAGTATAGTCAGTAAAATGAGATAGTGCCTAGGAATAGGAAGGGACTCACATCAGACTCGAGTTCGTTCTCATCGCGCATACAACTACAAGCGATCCAGTACGCAGGTAACTTTGCAGCTCGACAAGCCGTCTCGGCAATGTGATGAAGAGCCATCATATCCTCCTGAGAGTTATGGCTGAAGTGCTCTGTAGAGTAAGCGACGAATAGATAGGCAAGGTTGACATCTTGGCCATCGTTGTTCTCCCACTCCTCAACGCTGCGGACATCTACGCCCCTAATCTCATCGTTGAAGGCCTCTCGAAGGAAGCATAAATATCGCGGTCGTAGCATGCGATAGATGGTGTTATTACGAGCCATGAGTGAGAGGCCCTTTCGGTTCTCGTGGAGGTTGCTCCAGACTTTGGCATCGCCATGGTATTTGTAGAGAATGGGGGCATAGTAGAGCTTTCGTCTGATGACATTTGGTTTGCCTTCCCAGAACTAATATCGTCAGTATCACTGGGTTTGTAGATATCGATAGTGAAACTCACAACAAGCATCATGGCAATAGCCGCAGGAAAGGTCCTCAACACCATAATACCCCAGTCCTCCCAGCTCTGCGGATCATAGCTAAAGTCGATGATCCATGTTGCAATGCGCACCTTGAGGGGTGCAACCTTGCGGACGTAGGTTCTCTTCCAAGTAGAAGTACCAGGCCCTTCGTAAATGTCATCAACACATGCGACGTACATGTTGCGAAGATGGCCATCGTTGGAGTGAAGGTACCGATCCGAGCGAGTCTTGTACTCGACACGGCCAGCGTAGTCACGATGTCTTATCTTGGCCTCATTGTTGGTGTAGTTGTATCCAGGTTTCTGGTATAGAACTGGGTTGCGCCAACGGTAGATGGAGCGTGGCTCGAAGAAGTGCTTGCTTCCTTTGAGTTTAACAGGGAACTCCTTTTCCGCTCGCTAGAGAATGTCCTATTAGTGAAAATGCACTGATAGAAGGAGGGTGTCATTATTTACTTCTTTCTCATTCTGATTGCTGTTGGTGTTGGCGAGAGCCGTGGTAGTCACGGGGGCAGTGGCACTTTTGTTCTGCTAAGAAATGTTCAATTTAGAAAAGAAGGACTCTAGAAACAAAAACATCCACGGAAGAGCTTTACCATTGGACTTTCCTGCTGACCACTGCCCGAGCCCTGGTGTTCATAGACGACGCTTTGTTGACCATTGAAAGCCTGGGTTGGTTAGCAAGTGATGGATACATATCAAGGTGAGGTGTATACTAACCATGGGCTGTTGGTGGTACTGCATAGTGTTTTGTTGACTTGGGTGATGTGAAAGATGGGGATTGACGTAGCCAGTTGACTGCGCTGATAGAGGGCTCGTAGGCGGAGACACAGTTTGTTGATAAGGATGGGTGTATGGTTGGTTCGGGTAAGACTACGAAAGGTGAGAATGTTAGGAGAAGAAGGAGAAGGGAGGGCAGCGTACAACGACGGAGCTGCCAGGAGTATATGCACCTCCGTGAGCTTGATGATGTACAGGAGGCGGGGTCTGATTATACTTGATAGTGTTAGTCTTGACCTCGACCATGGAGACGTTGAAAGGAAGACTCACATTTCCAATAGAATTGGGGTCCCAATGTCCTCCGTGTGCGTGAGCCTGGAACATGTGTCAATAGCTGAGTGAAGAGAGAGGTTCAAAAGAAGGACATACCATGGTTCAAATAATGAATGGATGGATGATAGAAGACGAGATGAGGAGAATGAGAAGGACTTCAGGTCTTTAGGATTCATGAACGGTTCTCTTGACCGCTAATAAACGGAGAAAGGCTTTTCACAAAGGAGCCCCCAGGTTGGTTTAGTAAAAAAGAGCTGAACCCAGGTGGATGGATACCACACGCCATCTTAGGTTGATATCTAACTATCTCGATGGGAAGCGCCCCGTACCTTTTCTTTCGCCACCGGAGAGCCAGGTCTGGAACCAAACCGTTCACTCGGTAGGAGATAATAGCCGCTCATGGCTGGAAATATCAAGGGGAAGGAGTGACTGTTCTCGACCTCGTGCATTCAGCCTCATCATGCTGTAGACTATGATAGGATGGAGTCGGAAGACGGCATCTCCCATAACATCCACTTTGAGGGAATCCAACACGAAACTATTAGAAGCGGCTGAGACTCTAGAATGTCACTCGGCCTGAGAGTAGTATCAGAAGTCTCTCAGCCGTGGCTTGTCGAGAATGCCCTGCCGTCGCACTAACCCCTGGCATTGTCATACTATATTGTCGCAAATGCAGCGTTAGGATAGGTTGCCTTGTGAGGTATAACGCCGCCTCAACTGCAGGGTCTGATTTACTCTCCGAAAACGGTATGCTGGGCGACATGGGTGTTGTATATTTGAGAATTTGATAAGTAGACGCAACGTTCCTTGCACTTTTGTGAAACCCTCTCGAGCATCATGTGAGTCGCAGATAAGAAGCAATAGAAGCAATTTACTGACAATAGTGCCAGCTCTGATAGGATGGACAAACCATAGGAACCCCTGGTCTTAAAACGCCTCTTCAGCCCTGGGGAGCTAAACTTGGGGACTAGACCGGTCCCAGCACGAGTGTAACCCAAGGGGTCAGAAAGCTTAATAATTCTATTTCGCTAGACCGAGTTGTGGTATTTCCGTTTACTAACGGCGATCATGGCGCTTTTTTTTTTTTGGTGGTGGTTGAAACATGGCTTGGTCTAGACTCTACGCGTGCCATTCCCAGGACTTAGAGGCTGCAGAGTATAAACTATTGTACTATTATCTCTAAATAGATCCATGTAGTGTGTGGTAGGAATAGGTTGGACGCCATCAAAATGAGGCCGGCGCTTGCATTTATAGGACTCAACAAGAATGGCTCCTTGATGTAACAGGAGGACTCAGACGTATCAAAGCATTCAAAGAGATGCTGGTTCATCCTGTATCATTCATCCTGTACCGTCTACTTTCCCAACCATCTCTACACATTTATTATGTCGTGGACTCAAAGATCAAATCCGTATGATGCATTCGCTCAAGAAGCAACTCAGACACCGCTGGCAGTTGCTTTTCCACAATGGATGCTCAATATTTGGGAAATAACACATGGTATGTCACAA